ATTGATAGCCCAAATTCAAATTGTTATCTGGGCTAGCCCAATTGACAACTGGGCCGATTTTCATTTGGGGCACAACAGATATATTAAAATAGTTTTTTTTTTTTAGAGTAGAGCAGTTTCATAGATTTCATTATGATGTCAACGTTCACAATAATAGCAACTTTACGTTTCAAAGAGTTTACTATTTTTAACACGTTCATACATTGGCCAAAATGCTTTGTAACTTTGGCGATTTGCGATATAACGATAACGATAGAAGAATGTAGATATTTCTGTATTTTGGAAATTTTGGGTTTTAATTGATTTTTGAACAAATGCTTGGTTCTTGATGATGTCCATCGGACTTTGTAACCCTATTCCTATATATATATTATATAATTATTACGAATTTCACTCGCATAATAAATATCACGTGTATAGTCCATTCTTGGCATACTCTTGTTTTTATTGGTTATGCTTGTAGTATCACAACAGTCAGGAGTCTTAAATTGTTCAGGTGGCCAAACATAAAATGTATTTTTCGCTTCTCGTGTTTAACCTCAAAATTCGTTCGCTAATTCTGTTAATAAAGTATGCCAGCATTGTCATATTTTGTTCAAGCCCTTAAATCCGACCTTTGGTTTGTTTTATAGCCTTCGTGTTTCTTATCCTATGGATATTTTTAATTAACGTTTCTTTTTTTTTTATTGTACAATTTTATATTAACTTATTCTTAAAGATTCAAATTACAACACGATGGCCGCGCCAGTGGGAATATTACGAAATGCTAACCAGACGCAACAGGTAATTTCTGATTTGAAATTGCCTATTCACAAGGCTTGATCTATTGGTTTTTTTTTTTTTTCTTGGAATTTGAAGTTATGGTATTGATCATTTTAATCTTAACGTGAATAGGGTAAATCTACAATAGTTGCCCCTTTTTCTGATTCAGATTCGGAACAAGAAGGCATCAATAGCACAGACTATGGACAAGAGTATGAAACTGAGCCTGAAGGTGAATTGAACACTGAGGAGGCACAAGAAACTTTGCAACATGAAACTTTAGTAAAAGCAGGATACCTTGCTAAAAGACAAGAGAGACGGAAAGTAGGGAATAAGGTCTATATTTATACATACAAATTTTGTTAAATGATATCATACTCAAAGTCATAGCTCTTAATAATATAGATCTATCAATACTTAGAATTGGAAAAAGAGATGGTTTGTGTTAAGGTCAACAAAGTTGGCTTATTACAAAAGTGAAAAGGTAATGATACAGAATGGATTAATCAGTGTTGATTAAGAACTTGTAAGTAATTATTATTTTATAATATTGTTAGGAATATGAGCTTTTGAAAATTTTGGACTTGAATGATATTCACGCGGTTGCTGAGGTGAAGGTGAAAAATAGGTCCAATGTGTTTGGTATTGTTACGCCTAAGCGTACATTTTATGTCCAAGCGGAAAGTAAAAAAGGTCTTGATGATTGGGTGGATGCAATAAATAAGGTCAAGAAGGAAGTTCAAGACAATGATGATGATGAAGGAAGTCAAGCTGATGCTGAAGATATGGTGACAAAAGGGAAAAAAACTAAACGTCTCACTATTCAATTAAAATCCAAAATTTCAGCGCCAGTTTTGGATAAACAAACTATTAAAACCTCGGTGAAAGAGACATCTGCTATTGATATTCCAAATTCACAAGTTCAAACAACAGAACATGGTGAAGGTGGAAATTCATACGTATCAGTTTCCTCTTTTACATCTGGGGGTTCCATTCCTAATGTATCATCACAACCTTCAAGTCCGGTAGCAGCTAATTTTGTACCGGAAAGAAAGGATAGTAGTGATCCTACTGCCAGTTCTGAAGAGGAAGAGGGAGGCCCCGTTGATGTAACAGGTGAAAACAATAATGATGGTCGTGAAATCCAAAAAGGATATTTATATAAACTTGATAGATATAAGGTAATTGAACATTATTAAAAAGATGATTATTTTTTTGATAACTATAACTTGAACATTATTTAATTTATAGGCAACTTGGAAAAAAAGATGGTTTGTACTAGATAACGAGAAGCTAGCATATTACAAAGACCCTAAGGTGAAAATCAATTAAGTTTATATATTTTATGTTATTTATGTATTTAATACAATTTTATAATTTTCAGGATCATCGTCCTCATTTGAATCTTAATCTTTCGGATATTCTCGATGCTATCGAAACTGATTCTTCTCCCTACAAATCAAGACAACATTGTTTCAAGATAATTACTCCTAAACGAACATATATTTGTAGTGCTCCTGATGAAACATCTCTAGTAACGTGGTTGGCTGCTCTACAAGTAGCACTAACAAAGACAAAGGAGAAACTAAAAGCAGAGTCTTGATGACTTATGTAAATATATGATAATTGGAATTTAAGATTGGTTTTGGTTAATTTCTCTATACTTCATGTCTAAACGGCGTGTGGTGCTTTCTTATTAATACTTTTATTATTTTATTTTTTTGATCAGTGTTGCTGTTTGCTGTATTGCTTTACTGGATTCTATAATAATTATAATAGTAATTTTTTTGTAATTGGTTCAATACCAAATTTATTTTCTCTAGAAATTCTGTTTTCTTCTGCAATTAATGTTTTCATTTCTCTGCTAGAAACAAATTATTTTGTTATTAATTATATTCATTTACTTTGTTTTAATAAATTTATACCCCTTTTTTTATTTTGATTTCATGACTGAATTCAATAATTTTTTTACAATCACATGATATAAGAATATTTTCAATAATAAATTTTTCAACGGATACACTCAAATTTGCTTAATTATTTTTTTTTTTTTTTTTTTTTTTATATTCTTTGACAGTCTTGTCGGTGCTCAAATACAAATTATATTACTATTAGACTACAAAACAAAGTTTCAAAAATTC